TGTCGTGTTGGAGTGGAGTGGTGGTAGTGGTAATAGTAGTGTTAGTATAGTAATAGTAGTGTTAGTGTAGTGTTAGTAGTGATAGTGTTGGTGTAGTGTTGGAGTGGAGTGTTAGTAGTAGTGGTAGTAGTTAGAGTAGTAGTAATAGTAGTGTTAGTGTAGTGATAGTGTAGTGTTAGTAGTGATAGTGTTGGTGTAGTGTTGGAGTGGAGTGTTAGTAGTAGTGGTAGTAGTGATAGTAGTAGTAATAGTAGTGTTAGTGTAGTGATAGTGTAGTGTTAGTAGTGATAGTGTTGGTGTAGTGTTGGAGTGGAGTGGTAGTAGTAGTAGTGGTAGTAGTATAGTAGTGATAGTAGTATAATAGTAGTATAGTAGTGATGGTAGTATAGTAATAGTAGTGTTAGTCTTCTTTGGTTCTTTCGGTAAAGTCACGTAGAATGAGAATAAAATAATAAATTGATAAAATAAAATAACACAATAATATTCTCACGACGTTTCGGCCACAACACAAGCGGCCTTCATCAGGTGAAGGGACGAGACTGTCTGGTAGGACAGCGCTGGAGTGAAAGAGCCACGTTCAGATCACGACCTTTAAGCTGTGTGAGAGGAAACAAAGCGCCTTGACAAAGGAATTAGCATATAATTTAGCATTGAAATGGCTGAGTGATTAGCTTGTGACTAGTCACAGAAATAGCTATGTTAAAAGTTAAAGCATACACATCCGCAGAGGCACCCCTTGATAAAGGAATTAGCATAGAATTTAGCATTGAAATAGCTAAGTTAAAGCATACACATCCGCAGAGGCACCCCTTGACAAAGGAATTAGCATAGAATTTAGCATTGAAATAGCTAAGTTAAAGCATACACATCCGCAGAGGCACCCCTTGACAAAGGAATTAGCATAGAATTTAGCATTGAAATAGCTGAGTGATTAGCTTGTAACTGTTCACAGAAATAGCTACGTTAAAGTCAGAGCATACACATTCACCGAGGCACTTAGTACAAATCAAACAGGAGAATTTAGCATTGAAATAACTAGGCGAATTTAGCATTGAAATAACTGAGTGATTAGCTAGTGACTGGTCACAGAAATGACTATGTTGAAGTCAAGGCCTACACATCTGAGCTATTCACAGTACTATATAGTGAACCAATAAAAAAACTAAAATATAAATTACCTTAATGTTATCAATAAACTCTATATTCTCCAATCAGCTAAGCTACCAACAATAAGTCGTTATATATCACAATGCTATATGGCGAAAAAATGGGTGGATTCTTACCCTCAACTTTAGCAACACGGATAGCTACGGGTCCCGTTCAGACGGACGAGTTAATCCATGGTCGGAACAGAGGAGGGGGAGAGAGACAGCTGCGAGGCGCTATTATACTCCATGTTGTAAACCATACCATTAACCGTGGTGTGAGAGGTATTAAGAGTCAATGCTGGCGAAAGAGCTGCGGTCTGAAGGTCATCGTAAAATACAATAAATTAAGAACAGAAATGGTTTAAAACATCTTTCCAATGGTTACTAAGCCAGAATCCATCTTCTCGGTTGAAATTGTCTCTGTGCTTGTATATGTGAATGGCCTCATGTTAGTGTAGTGTTAGTAGTGATAGTGTTGGTGTAGTGTTGGAGTGGAATGGTAGTAGTAGTAGTGTTAGTAGTATTGTAGTGATAGTAGTATAATCGTATTATAGTAGTGATAGTAGTAGTAATAGTAGTGTTAGTGTAGTGATAGTGTAGTGTTAGAATTGATAGTGTTGGTGTAGTGTTGGAGTGGAGTGGTAGTAGTGGTAGTAGTAGTATAGTAGTGATAGTAGTATAATAGTAGTGATAGTAGTATAATAGTAGTGATAGTAGTATAGTAATAGTAGTGTTAGTGTAGTGTTAGTAGTGATAGTGTTGGTGTAGTGTTGGAGTGGAGTGGTAGTAGTATAGTAGTGATAGTAGTATAATAGTAGTAATAGTAGTGTTAGTGTAGTGTTAGTAGTGATAGTGTTGGTGTAGTGTTGGAGTGGAGTGGTAGTAGTAGTAGTGGTAGTAGTATAGTAGTATAGTGATAGTAGTATAATAGTAGTGATAGTAGTATAGTAATAGTAGTGTTAGTGTAGTGTAAGTAGTGATAGTGTTGGTGTAGTGTTGGAGTGGAGTGGTAGTAGTATAATAGTATAGTGATAGTAGTGTTAGTAGTGATAGTGTTTGTGTAGTGTTGGAGTGGAGTGGTAGTAGTAGTGGTAGTAGTAGTGGTAGTAGTATAGTAGTGATAGTAGTAATAGTAGTATAGTAATAGTAGTGATAGCAGTATAGTAATAGTAGTGATAGTGTTGGTGTAGTGTTGGAGTGGAGTGGTAGCAGTAGTGATAGTAGTATAGTAGTAGTGATAGTAGTATAGTAATAGTAGTATAGTAGTGATAGTGTTGGTGTAGTGTTGGAGTGGAGTGGTAGTAGTAGTGTAGTGGTAGTAGTGGTAGTAGTATAGTAGTGATAGTAGTATAGTAGTAGTAGTGATAGTAGTATAATAGTAGTGTTAGTATAGTGTTAGTAGTGATAGTGTTGGTGTAGTGTTGGAGTGGTAGTAGTAGTATAGTAATAGTAGTGTTAGTATAGTAATAGTAGTGATAGTGTTGGTGTCGTGTTGGAGTGGTAGTAGTAGTGTAGTGGTAGTAGTATAGTAGTAGTAATAGTAGTGATAGTAGTATAGTAATAGTAGTTTAGTAGTATTAGTAGTGTTAGTGTTGGTGTAGTGTTGGAGTAGAGTGGTAGTAGTAGTAGTGGTAGTAGTATAGTAGTAATAGTAGTATAGTAATAGTAGTATTAGTATAGTAATAGTAGTGATAGTGTTGGTGTAGTGTTGGAGTGGTAGTAGTAGTAATAGTAGTATAGTAGTAGTAATAGTAGTGTTAGTGTAGTAATAGTAGTATAGTAATAGTAGTGATAGTGTTGGTGTAGTGTTGGATTGGTAGTAATAGTAGTGATAGTAGTGATAGTAGTATAGTAGTAGTAATAGTAGTGTTAGTGTAGTAATAGTAGTATAGTAATAGTAGTGATAGTGTTGGTGTGGAGTGGTAGTAGTGATAGTAGTATAGTAGTAGTGATAGTAGTATAGTAATAGTAGTGTTAGTATAGTAATAGTATAGTAATAATAGTAGTGATAGTGTTGGAGTGGTGTGGTAGTAGTAGTGTAGTGGTGGTAGTAGTATAGTAGTGATAGTAGTATAGTAGTAGTGATAGTAGTATAGTAATAGTAGTGTTAGTATAGTAATAGTATAGTAATAGTAGTAATAGTAGTGATAGTGTTGGAGTGGAGTGGTAGTAGTAGTAGTGTAGTGGTAGTAGTATAGTAGTGATAGTAGTATAGTAGTAGTGATAGTAGTATAATAGTAGTGATAGTGTTAGTAGTGATAGTAGTATAGTAATAGTAGTGATAGTAGTATAGTAATAGTAGTGATAGTGTTGGTGTAGTGTTGGAGTGGAGTGGTAGTAGTGATAGTAGTATAGTAGTAGTGATAGTAGTATAGTAATAGTAGTGTTAGTATAGTAATAGTATAGTAATAGTAGTGATAGTGTTGGAGTGGAGTGGTAGTAGTAGTGTAGTGGTAGTAGTATAGTAGTGATAGTAGTATAGTAGTAGTGATAGTAGTAGTAGTAATAGTATAGTAATAGTAGTGATAGTGTTTGAGTGGAGTGGTAGTAGTGATAGTAGTATGGTAGTAGTGATAGTAGTATAGTAATAGTAGTGTTAGTATAGTAAAGTATAGTAATAGTAGTAATGATAGTGTTTGAGTGGAGTGGTAGTAGTGATAGTAGTATACTAGTAGTGATAGTAGTATAGTAATAGTAGTGTTAGTATAGTAATAGTATAGTAATAGTAGTGATAGTGTTGGAGTGGAGTGGTAATAGTGATAGTAGTATAGTAATAGTAGTGTTAGTATAGTAATAGTATAGTAATAGTATAGTAATAGTAGTAATAGTAGTGTTAGTATAGTGATAGTGTTGGTGTAGTGTTGGAGTGATAGTGTTGGAGTGGAGTGGTAGTAGTGATAGTAGTATAGTAATAGTAGTGTTAGTATAGTAATAGTAGTAATAGTAGTGTTAGTATAGTGATAGTGTTGGTGTAGTGTTGGAGTGATAGTGTTGGAGTGGAGTGGTAGTAGTGATAGTAGTATAGTAATAGTAGTGTTAGCATAGTGATAGTATAGTAATAGTATAGTAATAGTAGTATAGTAATAGTATAGTAATAGTAGTGATAGTAGTAGTAATAGTATAGTAATAGTATAGTAATAGTAGTGATAGTGTTGGAGTGGAGTGGTAGTAGTGATAGTAGTATAGTAATAGTAGTGATAGTAGTAGTAATAGTATAGTAATAGTAGTGATAGTGTTGGAATGGAGTGGTAGTAGTGATAGTAGTATAGTAATAGTAGTGATAGTAGTAGTAATAGTATAGTAATAGTATAGTAATAGTAGTGATAGTGTTGGTGTAGTGTTGGAGTGATAGTGTTGAAGTGGAGTGGTAGTAGTGATAGTAGTATAGTAGTAGTGATAGTAGTATAGTAATAGTAGTAATAGTATAGTAATAGTAGTGATAGTGTTGGTGTAGTGTTGGAGTGATAGTGTTGGAGTGGTAGTAGTGATAGTAGTATAGTAGTAGTGATAGTAGTATAGTAATAGTAGTGATAGTAGTAGTAATAGTATAGTAATAGTAGTGATAGTGTTGGAGTGGAGTGGTAGTAGTGATAGTAGTATAGTAGTAGTGATAGTAGTATAGTAATAGTAGTGATAGTAGTAGTAATAGTATAGTAATAGTATAGTAATAGTAGTGATAGTGTTGGTGTAGTGTTGGAGTGACAGTGTTGGAGTGGAGTGGTAGTAGTGATAGTAGTATAGTAGTAGTGATAGTAGTATAGTAATAGTAGTGATAGTAGTAGTAATAGTATAGTAATAGTAGTGATAGTGTTGATGTAGTGTTGGAGTGGAGTGGTAGTAGTGATAGTAGCATAGTAGTAGTGATAGTAGTATAGTAATAGTAGTAATAGTATAGTAATAGTAGGGATAGTGTTGGAGTGGAGTCACTCCGCTCCGGGTCTTCGCTGCAGTCGCGCCCGGCTCGTCCCGCGCTTCCGGGCGCCTCGCCGCGGTGTGGTGGTGGTTGTGGTGGTGGTGGCTGAGCCTTCTTCCTGTAGCAGCAGCAGCAGCCACGACTCCTCCTCCTCCTCACCCAGCACTCACCACCCACACACTGCGAGGCAGCGCCACCGTCTTTGTCTTCCCGGTTCCAGCCCCGGCGCTCGGTGGACAACGCAGCAGGAGCGAAGACGACGACGACGACTCCCGTGACTGCCGAGCCCTGGGTGAGTGAGGGAATGAGTGAGAGGTGGTGAGTGAGTGAGTGGGTGAGTGAGGGAATGAGTGAGAGGTGGTGAGTGAGTGAGTGGGTGAGTGAGGGAATGAGTGAGTGAGGGAATGAGTGAGAGGTGGTGAGTGAGTGAGTGGGTGAGTGAGGGAATGAGTGAGTGAGTGAGGGAATGAGTGAGTGAGGGAATGAGTGAGAGGTGGTGAGTGAGTGGGTGAGTGAGGGAATGAGTGAGAGGTGGTGAGTGAGTGGGTGAGTGAGGGAATGAGTGAGTGAGTGAGTGAATGAGTGAGAGGTGGTGAGTGAGTGAATGAGGGAGTGAGTGAGACGTGGTGTGTGAGTGAGTGAGGGAGTGAATGAGTGGGTGAGTGAGGGAATGAGTGAGAGGTGGTGTGTGAGTGAATGAGTGGGTGAGTGAGAGGTGGTGTGTGAGTGAGTGAGGGAGTGAGAGGTGGTGTGTGTGTGAATGAGTGAGGGAATGAGTGAGAGGTGGTGTGTGAGTGAATGAGTGAGTGAATGAGTGGGTGAGTGAGGGAATGAGTGAGAGGTGGTGTGTGAGTGAATGAGTGAGTGGGTGAGTGAGGGAATGAGTGAGAGGTGGTGTGTGAGTGAATGAGTGGGTGAGTGAGAGGTGGTGTGTGAGTGAATGAGGGAGTGAATGAGGAAGTGAATGAGTGAGAGGTGGTGTGTGAGTGAATGAGTGAGTGAATGAGTGGGTGAGTGAGGGAATGAGTGAGAGGTGGTGTGTGTGAATGAGTGAGGGAATGAGTGAGAGGTGGTGTGTGAGTGAGTGAGGGAGTGAGAGGTGGTGTGTGTGTGAATGAGTGAGGGAATGAGTGAGAGGTGGTGTGTGAGTGAATGAGTGGGTGAGTGAGGGAATGAGTGAGAGGTGGTGTGTGAGTGAATGAGGGAGTGAATGAGGGAATGAGTGAGAGGTGGTGTGTGAGTGAATGAGGGAGTGAATGAGTGAGTGAGGGAATGAGTGAGAGGTGGTGTGTGAGTGAATGAGGGAGTGAATGAGGGAGTGAATGAGGGGATGAGTGAGAGGTGGTGTGTGAGTGAATGAGGGAGTGAATGTGTGAGTGAATGAGTGAGTGATTGAGTGAATGAGTGAGTGATTGAGTGAATGAATGAGTGAGTGATTGAGTGAGCGATTGAGGGAATGAGTGAGTGAATGAGGGAGTGAATGAGTGAGTGAATGAGTGAGTGAGTGAATGAATGAGTGAGTGATTGAGTGAATGAGTGAGTGATTGAGGGAATGAGTGAGTGAATGAGTTAGTGAATGAGTGTGAATGAAGGCATGAGGGAGAGGTGGTGTGTGAGTGATTGAGGGAATGAGTGAGTGATTGAGTGAATGATTGAATGAAAGGTGTGAGTGATTGAGAATGAGGGAGGGATTGATTGTGTGATTGAGGGAGTAGTAATGAGCGATTTAGGGAATAAGGGAGTGAGTGAATGAGTGAGCGAATGAAGGAAACGCATGAGGGAGTGAATGAGTTATTTCTAGAATGAGGTAGTGAATGAATGATGTCAAGAATAAGGGGAGTGAATTAGTGAGTGGATTATTGACTAATATAACGAATGAGGGAGTGATGAGTAATTTGAGGGAGTGAATGCGTTCGTGATTGAATGAGGATAGTGAATGTGTGATTGAAGGAGTGAATGAATGACATAATGAATGAGTGATTGAAGGAGCGAGTGAATGAGGGAGTGAATGAATGAATGATTGAGACTGGCCTCTTCACTAGAACTGGGATTTAAAAGGACAACCCGATCCTTATACAGTGTAAGATTGAGCTTACATTGATGTTACATGGTGTGTGTGTGTGATGGTACATGGTGTGTGTGTTATGGTACATGGTGTGTGTGATGGTACATGGTGTGTGTGTGTGATGGTACATGGTGTGTGTGTGTGATGTTACATGGTGTATGTGTATGATGGTACATGGTGTTTGTGTGTGATGGTACATGGTGTGTGTGTGATGGTACATGGTGTGTGTGTGATGGTGCATGGTGTGTGTGTGATGGTGCATGGTGTGTGTGATGTTACATGGTGTGTGTGTGATGGTACATGGTGTGTGTGTGATGGTACATGGTGTGTGTGTGTGTGATGGTACATGGTGTGTGTGTGTGATGGTACATGGTGTGTGTGTGATGTTACATGGTGTGTGTGATGGTACATGATGTGTGTGATGGTACATGTTGTGTGTGATGGTACATGTTGTTTGTGTGATGGTACATGGTGTGTGTGTGCTGTTACATGGTGTGTGTGATGGTACATGGTGTGTGTGTGATGGTACATGATGTGTGTGATGTTACATGGTGTGTGATGGTACATGGTGTGTGAGTGATGGTACATGGTGTGTGTGTGTGTGATGTTACATGATGTGTGTGTGTGATGTTACATGGTGTGTGTGATGGTACATGGTGTGTGTGTGATGGTACATGATGTGTGATGGTACATGGTGTGTGTGTGATGTTACATTGTGTGTTTGATGGTACATGGTGTGTGTGTGTGATGTTACATGGTGTGTGTGATGGTACATGGTGTGTGTGTGATGGTACATGGTGTTTGTGTGATGGTGCATGGTGTGTGTGTGATGTTACATGGTGTGTGTGTGATGGTACATGATGTGTGTGTGATGGTACATGGTGTGTGTATGATGGTACATGGTGTGTGTGTGTGATGTTACATGGTGTGTGTGTGATGGTGCATGGTGTGTGATGTTACATGGTGTGTGATGGTACATGGTGTGTGTGTGTGATGTTACATGGTGTGTGTGTGATGGTACATGATGTGTGTGTGATGGTACATGGTGTGTGTATGATGGTACATGGTGTGTGTGTGATGTTACATGGTGTGTGTGTGTGATGGTGCATGGTGTGTGATGTTACATGGTGTGTGATGGTACATGGTGTGTGTGTGATGGTACATGGTGTGTGTGATGGTACATGGTGTGTGTGATGTTACATGGTGTGTGATGGTACATGGTGTGTGTGTGATGGTACATGGTGTTTGTGTGTGTTGGTACATGGTGTGTGTGTGATGGTACATGGTGTGTGTATGATGGTACATGGTGTGTGTGTGTGATGGTACATGGTGTGTGTGATGGTACATGATGTTGTGTGATGGTACATGGTGTGTGTGATGGTACATGGTGTGTGTGATGGTACATGATGTTTGTGTGATGGTACATGGTGTGTGTGATGGTACATGGTGTATGTGATGGTACATGATGTTTGTGTGATGTTACATGGTGTGTGTGATGGTACATGGTGTGTGTGATGGTACATGATGTGTGTGATGGTACATGGTGTTTGTGTGATGGTACATGGTGTGTGATGGTACATGGTGTGTGTGATGGTACATGATGTTTGTGTGATGGTACATGGTGTGTGTGATGGTACATGGTGTATGTGATGGTACATGATGTTTGTGTGATGTTACATGGTGTGTGTGATGGTACATGGTGTGTGTGATGGTACATGATGTGTGTGATGGTACATGGTGTTTGTGTGATGGTGCATGGTGTGTGATGTTACATGGTGTGTGTGTGATGGTACATGGTGTGTGTGATGTTACATGGTGTGTGATGGTACATGTTGTGTGTGTGATGGTGCATGGTGTGTGATGGCACATGATGTATGTGTGATGGTACATGATGTTTGTGTGATGGTACATGTTGTTTGTGTGATGGTACATGGTGTGTGTGTGATGGTACATGGTGTGTGTGTGATGGTACATGGTGTGTGTGTGATGGTACATGGTGTGTGTGTGATGGTACATGGTGTGTGTGATGGTGCATAATGTTTGTGTGTGATGTTACATGGTGTGTGTGATGGTACATGGTGTGTGTGTGATGGTACATGATGTGTGTGATGGTACATGGTGTGTGTGTGATGGTGCATGGCGTGTGTGTGATGGTACATGGCGTGTGTGTGATGGTACATGGTGTGTGTGTGATGTTACATGGTGTGTGATGGTACATGGTGCATGGTGTGTGATGTTACATGGTGTGTGTGTGATGGTACATGATGTGTGTGATGTTACATGGTGTGTGTGATGTTACATGGTGTGTGTGTGTGATGTTACATGGTGTGTGTGATGGTGCATGGTGTGTGATGTTACATGGTGTGTGTGTGATGGTACATGGTGTGTGTGTGATGGTACATGGTGTGTGTGATGGTACATGGTGTATGTGATGGTACATGGTGTGTGTGTGATGGTACATGGTGTGTGTGATGTTACATGGTGTGTGTGATGGTACATGGTGTGTGTGTGATGGTACATGATGTGTGTGTGATAGTACATGGTGTGTGTGATAGTACATGGTGTGTGTGATGGTACATGGTGTGTGATGTTACATGGTGTGTGTGTGTGATGGTACATGGTGTGTGTGATGTTACATGGTGTGTGTGATGGTACATGGTGTGTGTGATGGTACATGGTGTGTGTGATGTTACATGGGGTGTGTAATGGTACATGGTGTGTGTGTGTGATTGTACATGGTGTGTGTGTGATGGTACATGATGTGTGTGTGATAGTACATGGTGTGTGTGATGGTACATGGTGTGTGTGTGATGGTACATGGTGTGTGTGTGTGATGGTACATGGTGTGTGTGTGATGGTACATGGTGTGTGTGTGTGTGATGGTACATGGTGTGTGTGATGGTACATTGTGTGTGTGTGATGGTACATGGCGTGTGTGTGATGGTAAATGGTGTGTGTGTGATGGTACATGGTGTTTGTGTGTGTTGGTACATGGTGTTTGTGTGTGGTGGTACATGGTGTGTGATGGTACATGGTGTGTGTGTGATGGTACATGGTGTGTGATGGTACATGGTGTGTGTGTGTGATGGTACATGGTGTTTGTGTGATGGTAAATGGTGTGGGTGTGTGATGGTAAATGGTGTGTGGTGGTACATGGTCTGTATGTGACGGTACATGGTGTGCTGTGGTTATGTAGGACCAGGCTATGTTGATTATTCATAGCACGC